CCTTGACCAATAAAGCGAGATGAGCGCCACAACCCCAGAGTCGGTCATGACTGGACCTAACGGTCAGGGCGCCCTTTACCTTTTAACCTAGTTAGTCCAACTAGATCAGTACAGTGGTACCTCGCAAGACGAACACCTCGCAAGACGGAAAAACCCGCTACACGAAAGGGTTTTCCGTTTTGGAGGCGCTTCGCAAAACGAATTTCCCTATGGGCTTGCTTCGCAAGACGACAGCCCGAAGCCGGGCGGCGGGGCGGGAACGCCTCCCCCCGCCGCCCGGCATCGGAACGATGTCCCGAAGCTGGGCGGCGGGGACAGCTTTTGAAGGCAGGCGGGGGGAACAAAGACTTTCTCCCCCCGCCTGCCTTCAGAAGAAGTCCTGGACCTCTTCTGAAGGCAGGCGGGCGGCAAAAGTCTTTGTCCCCCTGCCTGCCTTCCCAGGGGCTTTTAAATCGCCCCGGACAGCGGAGAAGTCCTCCACTGTCCCGGGCGATTTTAAAATGCCGCCCGCCAGCATTTTAAGATCGCCCCGGACAGCGGAGACATCCTCCACTGTCCCGGGGTTTTTTAAAATGCTGGGGTGGGAAGAAAAGCCCTTGTCGTCGTCCCCCAGCCTTCAGAAGAGGTCGGGGGACAGACTGTCCCCGGACCTGGTCTGAAGGCGGTTTCCCTAGGAACGCATTAATTGATTTTCAATGCATTCCTATGGGAAACCGTGCATCGCAAGACGAAAAACTCGCAAGACGAAGAGACTTGCGGAACGAATTAATTTTGTCTTGCGAGGCACCACTGTATTGTCAACACTGACTTGCAGCAACCCACCAAGGTTTCAGGCAGGAAGGATTTCCAGCTTTACCTGGAGACACCAGGGATCGAACCAGGGACCTTTTGCATGCAGCCCTTCCCTAAATCTCTTCCCCATCCACCGCCCACCCCCAAACCTGAAGGTTTGCTTCATAGACTCATAGAGTTGGCGGGGGTATGATAAGTAATCCACTTTCGTCCCATGCAGTCAGTTGGCAGTGTCACTTAGAGTGATGTGCCCACAGTCAATGAGGCCATATGCAAAAAAGCGCTGGGTTCCTGGACTTTTAATAGCTGCACAGAAGAGGAAGTCTGAGCAGGTAAAACTGTGAGCAGAGATAACGAAAGAGGTAAGGGAGACTGGACAAAGAGCTGCAGTGTCCTAAATACAGAATCAAGGAAGTCCGCTACAGTGAAGAGTATTGTGGTATATTAAAAAAAAAAACCCTATGCCCAGGGGTTGTTGGCCTATTGGTGTTAAAGAAGGATAGAACTTTCTTTATGTATGCTACAGCAGCAGCAAGAATACTCATCGCAAAGCATTGGAAGATTTACCCACCCTGGAAGAATGGCAGATGCAAGTAATCAACTATATGGAAATGGCAGAAATGACTGGCAGAATCCGAGATCAGGGAGAAGAGTCGGTGGAAGATGATTGGAAGAAATTTAAAATTTATTTACAGAAATACTATAAAATGTATGAATGACATTGAAATGAAATGAAGGGGTTCTAGTAACAAGGCATAATGTAAGACTGGATTGATAACAGATAAAAATTGGAAATTATAATATGGGAGGAAAAGTAATTAAGGATAAAGCAACAGGTGATGAATTTGCTGAATTAATTTTCAAAAAGGGATACAAAAAAGGGAGGCGTGAGGAAGTCAGGAAAATAAGTTAATCAAAGAGAGGTTAAAAAAGAGGGATTTGTGTTTCTCTTTGCTGTGTGCTTAATTGTTTTTTCTGCTTTCTTTTTCTTTTTTTGTCAGGGTAAATGTTTGTATTTTTGTATTGTTTGACTTTGTATTGTTGTGCTTTATATTTTTCTGGTGTTTTTATTGTTTTGTGCTTGTTGTTTATGGAATTTCTTTTTTGTCAAAACTTAATAAAATATTATTTAAAAAAAAACCCCTAAGGCTGGAGTACAGTCCACTTCATCAGACGCACAATTATCTTAGTTGATAGCTGGATTTTTATTTTTTTAATGTGATCAGCAAGGCCAGTTAACTGCGTCATCATCAGTTACTGCTGTTCTGAATGGCCACTGTGTGTATCTTGAATATCTGTAGCCCAAAAATGGCAAAGATTGTATCTTTTACATTAGGGGTACTCGACAAATATGGCATTTGCTAATTACAGAACAAAATGCCCTGACCTGTAGCTCTCAGGCTAGAACCTCAAGACTCACTAACTGGAGCCAGGTGCAAAATATGGGCTTGGGGGTGTGTGTAAGGAAGAGCACACCAAATTAAAGGACAGGGTCCCTCTCAGCATATTCTCAGCCAAGGAATCAGTATCAGAACTGAGCTTACAATAATGTCACACCAAAATCCACTCCAGATCTCCCCCTCCCTTTTTTCATCTCAGCAGCCTAATTTAGAAAGGGGAGTACTGTAAAGCTTTTCAGTTGTGGCTGTTGGCAAACCATTCTGTCAGTTGTTGTTCAGTCATGTCCGACTCTTCGTGACCCCCTGGACCACAGCACGCCAGGCACTCCTGTCTTCCACTGCCTCCCGCAGTTTGGTCAAACTCATGCTGGTAGCTTCGAGAACACTGTCCAACCATCTCGTCCTCTGTCATCCCCTTCTCCTTGTGCCCTCCATCTTTCCCAACATCAGGGTCTTTTCCAGGGAGTCTTCTCTTCTCATGAGGTGGCCAAAGTATTGGAGCCTCAGCTTCAGGATCTGTCCTTCCAGTGAGCACTCAGGGCTGATTTCCTTAAGAATGGAGAGGTTTGATCTTCTTGCAGTCCATGGGACTCTCAAGAGTCTCCTCCAGCACCATAATTCAAAACCATAAATTCTTCGGCGATCTGCCTTCTTTATGGCCCAGCTCTCACTTCCATACCTCTCTACTTGAAAACCATGGCTCTAACTATACAGACCTTTGTTGGCAAGGTGATGTCTCTGCTTTTTAAGATGCTGTCTAGGTTTGTCATTGCTGGTAAATATTCTGCCCGCTTCTGGGACTTTTGGGAACATTTCCTTATGCTTGACTTCAGGAGCTGGTGAGAACAATCCCGTTTCATTCATCTTCTATGGCTATTTTTGGGATTATAGATCCTTGTTTGCAGTAGCATACCAAATACAACTGCCTGCAAAATTTCCCACACTCACCTGTGGAAAACAGATTATTATTTGTGCTGGGTTGTGTGTGGTAGGGGAAAGATGCAATTCCATTATGTCCCAGGCCAGCGTTTCTCAATCTGGACCTCAACCCACTTTCAGATGGGCCTTGGTGCCACAAACCCTCCCACTGTTCTATATAGCCTAACAGCACCAAGTGCCCTACATAGGTAGTACACAGAGATGGAAAACAGGAGTTGAGTAGAAAGAGAGCCTGTGGCATGCTAAACTGGAGAGGAAGGAAGGACACACAGAGAGAAAAACTAACCAGAAAAGTGGCCTGCTGAGTGAGTGACTGAGTGTGAGGGAAGGAAAAGCCAGGACAAGACTGAAAGAAGCAGAAGAGACAGACAGACTAAGGGACTGGAAAAGGCGAAACAATGGCAGAATGCAAGTTAACCATGATGTCAGTGATTGTCAGCCTATTAAGGAAGAACCTATGCAAATGTGGACCTTGTTTGTGTGCTACATACCTGGAGTGGTCAAAGGTACAAGCCTACTAGCGAGAGGATGACAAATGAAACTGTTAATTGGGCTTTGAACAATTTCCCCATTATCAAAATTGTTTTAGTACTTATATATAGCACACTGATTGCTATATTGGTTGTACACTTGTATGCCAACATAAACCCAAACTAAAGGTGTGTGTGTGGGTTTATAATTGCCAGTTGGGAAGCCAAACTCCACATCAAATCGGCCATCATTTTTTAACTGCCTGAACCGGAATTTAGAGATGCGCTTGTTACACCTCAGCCTCAAAGCTAAGATCACTGACCTTTTCCCAACAGTACACCCCTGCCTGTAGCCCTCTGGATGCTGTTGAAATCCTCCATCTCCCCCAGCCGTGGGTGGATGGGAGTTGTAGTCCAACAACATTTGGAAGGCCACTCAAAAAGGTCTACTCAAACACAGGAAACCACCTGTGCTTAAGCTGCATTCAGTGCACCACTGGGATGACAATCCATATATTGTCATTTCTTATGAAAGACCGTGTTCCAGCTTTAATCCACACTGGCTAAAAGAACAATCGGGCTTTCTTTTAAGGTGGCATCATGTACATAACCTAAGTCAGAGCACTGGGCTATCCAGTTTTAGCATACGTGCTGTCGAAAAGAGCACAGGCCTATCTAGCTCAGTACTGCCTACACTGGCTGGCAGCAGGTCTCAAGAGGGATTTAGAGAGTAGTCTCAACCAGCCCTACTTGGAGATGCCAGGGATTGAACTTGGGGACTTTTCGCATGCGGAGCATCTGAGGTGAGCTACATGCCAGAAATAAATGTCCCCGGAATATTCCCCAGAAATAAACGTCCCTGGAGCAATCAGCTGCCTGCATTCAGTTTACTGCCACTTATTAAAGAGTTGGAGACGTTGTGCCAGCTCGGTTAAAGATACTAGAGAAAAACATAACACAGGTTGACCAACAGCTCAGAATGTGCCTCAGCAACTGCGGAGGGAGAAATTGCAAACCATGCCCTGGTATCGGTTCCTGGGCGTGCACAGACACTGCAAATTAATTCTCTTCTGAGATTTAACTTCTCGAGAACCACGCGCATCTTTAAAACGAAAACGAGCTAAGCCATTCCCCAAAGGCAGGTGATTTTCTCAGCGTGAGAAAATGAGGAGACAAGCAACGTCCGGGGCAAACACATCCAGCTGGAGGGGGTGAAGTCCTGGGGCGCCTTTTCGGGGATGCAAGTGGCAGTCGGGGAGGCTGACTCCTGAGCCAAGCGCCCACAGCAGAGGGCTGCCGGTTTCCAAGAGGGCGGAATGCGAATTGTATAAAGCGGGGGAACTGCCTCCGCTTTTACAAAGTGATTCTGGCCAATCAGCTTCCTCCCCAGAGCTCGCCTAATCCTGCCCAGGAGCGAATGGAGCTCAGTGGCGCGCCCGGCCGGGAGGAAGAAGGAGCGTGAATGCGGGCTTTTCCCCGGCTTTCCTCTCTCTCCGCGCGTGGTCCTTCGCAGGCGCGCCTTTGCTTTGGGGCTCCCCAAGAGAGGCCGAAGGAGCGTCCCTTGGCAGCCGGGTGGTTTCTCCTGCCTTTGCGAGGGTAAGCCATTCAATTCATTACATACCCGATTTTTTAAAATACTGCGTCGGACAGAATGCTTTTCGTTTCGGGAGATGGCCTGGGGAGCTTTTGCCGAGATCCTTCGTAGAAGGCAGCAACTTGGTCGGAAGTTTTTCTGGGTTTTTCACATCGCAGCAGGAAAACACGATAGGAACTTCATATAAAGTTTTATTTCGAAACTTCCGAGCAAGTTCCTGCGCTCTGCCCCACCCCATGAATTTTTCGGAAATAAGAGACTATCAACCGAGCCTGAAACGCTGCAAATAGTTCACGAGGCCAGCCTATTGTGTAGGATTTTTTCCCTTTCACGCCTTTGAAAAAAGAGGGTCCCTTTTATGGCCTCGTTTGGGCTCCCTTCTCCTTTGGATGCGCGCGACCATTAACTTTAAAACTCCCGAAAGTAGGTGTGGTAATTGACTCGCTCGCTCCGGGAAGAGTTATTCGCAGCTGAATCGAGTGCCTTTCTGGGTTTGCTTTTGCAATCGCCATTCCTCTTACTCTTCCTTTTTGAAAAGGAAGAGACCTCCCGCAAAAAAAAAACCTCTTAAATGCAACTGCAGGGACTTTTCCCGCTACCCACGACTGATCTTTCACCTCGTTTTGCACACTCTCGCGCCAGTCCCTCGCGGCTTTGTGTGGTTGCGGGTGTTCCCTCCCGGCAAAAAACGAGCCGATCCAGCTGCCTGTGGCTTCTGGCGAAAATTGCAACGTCGACCCCAAAGGCACAGAGAGGAGCCTCCTCCTCCTTCTTCCTCCAGCCTTAGGGAACGAGACCGATCCCCCCCGCATGGGGGGTTAGTAAAAAACTTTGGCACAGCCGGGTCTCCGCAGAAGGCCCTCCCTCCCCTTGCCCTCTGCTTTTCATTTGAATTGCCTGTTGTGCAAATCTTGCTTTTCCCCCCACCCGCCAACACTTAATGGGAAGGCGAGTGCGCTTTCAAGCTTCCTTGCTTAGGCAATCCGACGCATTCTCATTTCTGCGTCGTTGGGGCTATTATGCTTTGCAAGCTACCCGGAGCGGGCTAGTTTCTCCCACGCCCCCAACTAAGAGGGCAGGGCGGGGATTTCGCCCCTTCCTCGTTTAGCATTTTATTTTGGGGGGGTGGGGTAGGATGGGAGTGGGAGCAAAGAAACAAAAGAGTTCCCACAGTAACAGTTTTAATCCTTTGCAGCAAAATCGACAAGAGTCCTGGGGCACTGGGGAGAGAGCAACAGAGTCCATTGTGGCATCTGCTTTTGTAAGCCGGAGTCCCATAGAGCGCCATAAAAAATAAAAAAAATCGCTGGTCTTTTAAGACGACCTGTGGAGTTTCCATAGTAGTGTCTTGTTTGGTTTGGGAGGAGGAGTTGCTCCCTTGCTTTGCACGGGTGGCTGGAATTTGCTGGTTCCTTTGGCAGCCTCTGCTGTCCCCTGCAGGTGGGATCCCAAATGGATCGCATGACCCTCCCCCCTCTTGCAATCTTTTAAATTGCACAGAGACTTTTAATCTTGAGTCGTAGGTTCGAGCCCCGCCTTGGGCGAAAAATTCCTGCATTGCAGTGGGTTGGACTAGATGATCTGCATGGTCCCTTCCAACTCCACAATTCTATGACTCTCTTGAGAGAGGATCTAGGTAGCCTGTATGTGTTTAACTCTGCCGCAGCAACATATGAAGAGGTTACTGTAGCACATCCACTCCCACCTCGGGGCTCTCCGAGTGGGGTTTTTTATAGAGCAACAACACTGCAATTCCTTCCAACAGTTCGACTTCATCCCCAAAGGTGCACTCTCCATTGGTTCCTGAGGCAGATGGATGCTAACCAACTGCTCCCACTGGCTTGGGGCTGATAGGAGCTGCAGCCCAATACATCTGGAGGGGGCCAGGTTGCAGTCTGTGTGCTACTCTCTGGCTAATAATAATAATAATTTATTATTTATACCACTCCCAGTTTCCCCAGCCACTCTGGGCAGCTCCCAAACAAGTATTAAAAATACAGCGTTAAATATTAAAAACGTCCCTGAACAGGGCTGCCTTCAGATGTCTTTTAAAGATAGGATAGCTACTTATTTCCTTGACATCTGAAGGGAGGGTGTTCCACAGGGCGGGCGCCACTACCGAGAAGGCCCTCTGTCTGGTTCCCTGTAACCTTACTTCTCGCAATGAGGGAACTGCCAGAAGGCCCTCGGCGCTGGATCTCAGTGTCTGGGCTGAACGATGGGGGTGGAGACGCTCCTTCAGGGCTTGCAGACTAAAAATGGGTAACCATCCTTCTAACTTAGCTTTGCAATTAGGGGAGTGTAGGTAACACCTGTCCTTTAGTTGTAGCAGCTGATGTGAAGGGACCAGGCCCTGCCTAGCTCTGCTTTAGGCTGTTTACACAAGAGATGTTTCAATTAAGGGCTTTTTTTTCTTTCACTTCTCTTTGCTATCTCCCATACCTGTAATTGAAAAGTTAATTGGCTGGAGTATACAGCTGGGTATTTGTTACTTTCATTATTATTGTTATTTTTTGCTGTTTTCCACACCTGTAATTGAAAAGTTAATTGGCTGGAGTGTACATGAAAGTCTACAATTTGTTGTTTGCGAGTGAATTACGGGACCTGTGAAGAGAGGGGTGGGGAAAACATTTTGAGCGCTGGTAAGCCTCTGCTAACTTTGTCAATCTGAATTTACTTGAGGCCTTTTTCTTTCCTTTTTTGTGTTTTCACAGGCATTTCTCAAGTTGTAAAAAAACACACCCATTAAGCCTCTTCCCTCCCCTCACCCCTGTTGTTAATGGAGGCCGATGACTCTCAGAATATGATTTTGTGCCCATCCTGAGAACAAAAATTTCCATAGTGTGTATTAATATGGTTGAGGGCCTATAGGGAAGTTTATGCTAAAAAAAGGTACTTTGCTGATTTATTGACAGTCAGCTTGTGGAACAACATGAAGAGCTTCCTGGAGTGATGGTGGAAGCGAGTGGTTCCTCTGCATTCCATGCCTGTGAAGGCATCAGTAGAGCAAGCCCAGGAATATCTCTGATGCTCTCCAAGGAGAGGGTGACATTGGGCTTTGAGAACCACTGGCAGTGATTATAACATTGCAGCAGCCTTCCTCAGACTGGTCCTCTCCATATGTTGGACCACAACTCCCATCACTCCTGACCACTGGCTATTGTGGTTGGGACTGATGGGAGTTGCAGTCTCGACATTTGCAAAGCTAAGCAGGGTCTGGTATGGTTTCAAACCGTGCCTTCATTATTCACCTTTAGGTGCCCAACGTTCCTTTTTAACCAGGCCTTTGGCTGATTGACATCCAACGCCCTTTTAAAATGTGTTGGGGAGGGGGGTGTTATTGGGTTGTTTGTTTTTATTATGTATTTTGTGTTTTTGTATTGTGGTTTATATGTTGTAACTGCCCTGAGACCTGCGTGTATAGGGTGGCATGCAAATTTAATAAATAATAATACATAATTTTTAAAAAACTGGATGTGTTGAGATTTGTGCATGCAGGGGGTTGGACTAGACAATGCTTGGGTGCTTTCCAACTCTACAGTTCTATGATCTGGGGGTGGGTGGGCACCAAGTTGTAGAAGGCTGCATGAGATTGAAGAGCTGTAGCTCCTGGTTTAATGCCAGGGATTGCCTGGTAGGGCCAGGAAAGACCCTTGCTTGGAGAGTTGTTGCCAGCCATCAGAGACAGTACTGGGCTGGATGGTGGTTTAAGAAAACCTCCTCTATTCTTAATGTAGCTAAAGGCAAGGGCATTTATTGTATATACAAAATGGAATATGTGCAAATAATTCCCTGAGGTGGTGATAAGCAGGGATATATACGCTGATATGATAGCAGAAGTGCAAAATAACTTGCGTTATACTTGGAACAGGTTGTAACAAAGCAGTTTATGGCTACATCCAGTCTCTGTTTCCATCCTGTACCATGAATGGATAGACACTGTATTTAGAAGGCAAAATGTGAATTCAAATCCAATTCTCGTTAGGTCTCTTATTAAGTCACTGTTGCTTCCATTCCCAGTTGTTACAGCTGTATAGTAAAAATCACTCAAGAGATGACTAAGATAAATATTGTTGTGCTACCCTGCATTTGATAGGATATGATGGGTTCTTAAGATGTTCCGCATGTGACGTTAATTTTTTATACCCTGCCTGTCTGTCTGAGTTTCCCCAGCCATTCTGGGCGGCTTACAGCACATATAAAAACATAGTAAAGTTCCGTGTTTCTCAGCATTGTATATTTCTCATGCCAACAAAATTAGCATCAGCTTTTGGTAAGAAGAAACAAGCTAATGTGTACATTTAAGCAGCTGCTTTTATTAAGAACACGGCTAAAGACTTTTGTTGTACGGTGTTGAATATAGAGCTTAGGGCTTGTGGTAATAACTGTGCTTGCAAAATTAGTTCATTTCCTATAGTAGCCATCTGTTTATGGCAGACGCAGACACCTCCCCTCCACCAGTGTTTCCTGCTCTTAAACTTCCTTTATGTATCTTTCACTAAATTAGCCGACTGAGTGATGTGAGCGTGAATGGTTAAAGAGCTCAAAGGTTGAGGGGAGAGCAGAACGTGGAAAAAATGTGAAGGTCACTGATCTTTTGTCTAAAATGCTGTAAGTACGTGGTCTACACTGTTCCTATTATTTTGTGTGTCAGCTGCAGTGTTGGGTACTTGTCAAATGTAAAGGTGCAGTCTTGGAACATTTTTTGTTAGAGATAACCCCATAGATGGAGGCTGCCCTGTTGTTGTTTTGCAGACACCTGCCCCCACCATCCCAAATCCTCCCTTTATTTCATTGGTGCTGATAGCATTAAAGATTATTCTGATTATTTGGGTGGGTCTTTGTGTGCTTAGTACTGTGCTATCTTGACTAAAAGCACATCTATGTTCATATCAACTTAATTATCATGGTATTCCCACACAAAAATCTTTGAATTATGGTATGGTGAGGTGGCGGAGATTAGTCCTCTCCCCTTTCATAACTACAGTTCCCAAGAGTTTTC